GACATCCGACTCTTGGTTTTAGCTCAGGTCATGATCTCAGTGTCATGAGACTGAGGTCCGAGCTCAGTGTAGGGTCTGCCTAAGATTCTTTCCCTTTCCTTCTCCTTCCCTCGCTGTTCCTTCCCCACACTCGAGCATGCTCTCTCTCTAAAATAAATAAAATAAAAACTAAAAATTTTCTCTCCCCCGCCACATTTCATGTAGATGATGTCATACTTTACATCCTTCTATTCTGTGAATCCCTGGACTGATTTTTATAGATATTCTTAATTTTACTGCTTTGGTCCTTCCCCTTTTCTTACTCCTGCTTATGGTCTTTCTGTTCCACTCGAAGAGTTCCCTTGAACATTTGTTATAAGCCTGGTGTGATGAATTTCTTCAACTTTTGTTTGGGAAACTGTTGATCTCTTCTATTCTGAATGATAGGCTTCCTGGATAGAGTATTCTTGGTTGGCAGAATTATTTTCCTTTCAGCATTTTGAATATATGGTACCACTCCCTTCTGGCCTGCAAGATTTCTGCTCAAAAATCTGGTGATAGTCTTATGGGGGTTCCCTTGTATGTAACAATTTGTTTTCCTCACTGCTTTTAAGATTCTCCCCTTGTCTTTAACTTTTCACAATTTAGCTATAAATTGTATTTTTTTGTTGTTAAGTTGAATGTGTACATTATATTTAAGGATCCAAACTCAGACTACAAAAAAGGGAAGAAAACAAGAGAAAAGCAGAGGTAATACCCATTTATATGGTAAATAACAGATTATCATGTTCAACAGTACAATTTTCCTTCGCTAGTCCAGCAATGCAAGTCTTCACATGAAGTTCACTGTTGTTCTTGCCTTTCAGGGTTTAGCTGTGTGCTTGTAGGGGGTTAGAGTTCCTGCCAGATGTCTGACTCGGAGTGGAATTACTATGGCTAGAATCACTTTTACTCTAAGATGACAGAGCTTCATACCCCAGTGCTTAAGTTTTTACAAAGCTGACCCTTCCATTTCTCAGCAATATTTTTCCACCAAGAGTAATCTGGAGCATCACTCACCTTCATAACACGTAATGATATACTACTCATTGATATGAATGAGGACATAGGCAGCCAGAATTGGTGTAAAGGTTAATGGTGTGCTTGCAATGTTTATTAGGGAAGCCCTTAGAAGCTCCTTCACCTCAATTAGTGCAGTCACAGCATGGCATTTGGTCTTTATCTCTTACCTGTAGCCTCCCTGAATGACATAGTTATAATTGCTTTGCCACTAGGTCCTCTGTGTAGCCCAAGTAGGTTTACATTTGCAGCATTCACTGCTTGCCCCTCTACAGTTTCCATTACTAGGATCCATAGGAAATTCACTCTGTCCATGGTGATGATGGCCTTGTGAAAGATGTACGTGTCCCAGCCATAAATGGCAGCTCCTTGTAGGCGTGGCTCTCAGACCACAGGTGGCTTACCTGATGAAGATGGGCTTGCAGGCCTCTGGGCCTACTTGCACGTAGACTTGCAGAACTTAATGTGCTCTTGTTGGAAGGAATGGTGCAGATGAGTATGTCCATGGCACAGAGTAAGAGCAGGTGTGGGCTTCTGGCGGTGCCCAGCAGACCTTCAAGCTGCTCAGTGGCCAGGATGGCATTGGTCTGGGTAGAGTGGCACAGGTGGTTGGATACCTTTGTTGTGTGCTAGGATAGGGGTGCAGACAGGCTCACAGGCTGCAGGCTGGTCCCAGGAATCCACAGCAGGCAGAGCACAGCCAGGGCAAGCCGCCCAAGCCCAGCCCACGTAGCATCTGTCCTAGACTAACGCAGACCATGCTCGTGGCAGGATGGGGTAGGATGCAGCAGTGTCAAGGACTCTGAGAGGCCTGCTTCACTCTCTCCTCTCACCCACTGTAGATTCAGTCTGTCCGTGAGAGGAGGTAGATTCAGGATCTTCCTATATCACATTTTGAGCTGGACTAAATGAGATTTTTCAAGAGTTCCATTAACTTATAAATCTCCATAATCTAGCCTTCTCATTTTAGTGTTGTCTTTTGAAGAAAAAAATTATCACAAAAAAAAAGTGACATATTTACTCGCAAGGTAAAATGGGACTGATTTCCTCATGGACAAGAATAAATGTGGAAAATACTACCTAAATGTGAGCTTAAGAACTAGGACTGCCTAAGAAAATACATCCTACGCCAGAGACACACAGCTGGACAAGAACTTAAGACAACTCTTTATGGAGTCTCTAAACACACACTGACCGAAGCCATAGACAGAGTTCTCCAAAGCATCTGGTGGCTAGGTATTAAAAAAGATGACCAATGTTAAAAACACATGACACACCTTGCTGCTACTCACTATCCTCTCACTGCCCCCCTCCCCAAGAACAACCAAAAACAAGACTCCAGGTTCACATAGCTAATCCCACAATCCTCCGAAATCCTCAACCATCATAAATTACAAGTTTTCCATTGTCCTTGCTGCACATGTCCCTGTTCTTTCCATTGGCCCTAGAATGTCAGGCAGCTGGCTATTTTTGACATCCTTTCCCTTTCAAGGATGCCTTTAAAATACAGGTTTGGGGGGTGCCTGGGTGGCTCAGTCATTAAGCATCTGCCTTCAGCTCAGGTCATGATCCCGGGGTTCTGGGATCGAGCCCCGCATCGGGCTCCCTGCTCCACGGGAAGCCTGCTTCTCCCTCTCTTGCTCCCCCTGTTTGTGCTCCCTCTCTTGCTGTGTCTCTCTCGTCAAATAAATAAAATTAAAAAAAAAAACCCAAAAAACAGGTTTGGGCATGTAACCCAAACCTGACCAATCTGTGTATTCCAGCCTGGTGACCTCAGGAAAATCTATGTGAACCAAGTTGATCCAAAGGCCCAAACAATGGACATTTTTGTGTGAACTACTAGGAAATAGAGAAGCTCTCTTTCCACTGAGATTGCCACGTAGAAGAACAACATGCACTGGGAAGTTCTGAGTGCCACTGTGGACAAGAGGATGGTTACAGCAGTTAGCGGACCCTCACAAACACACACAAATATAGACAGAGTAATGTAGTTCAGTATACCTCTCTGCCTAGTGGTTTGAGAAGATTGGATGGTCTAGTCTATGTTTCCACTTTAGAAAGTAGTTAAGGAGATAACTTTTTTGGAGGAGGTTTAATAAGTTTAAAAAACTTCAAACTAGTAATTATTATAAAATATAGTTTAATTTCACTCTTCATTACTTACCACAAAAATTTAAAAAATCCCAATATACAGACAAGAACAAGTAAACTGGAAAAGAGCTAAAAATTGTATAAAAAACAGAGCTAAGCACAGGAATGTAGGAGCAGTGACACACGTACAACATACTCTCAAGTGAATTCAGAAAGCATATTCCAGGTTAGACAAGTTTTCTTTCTATGGTCAACTTTTACTGGAGCCACATCTGGAAAGCATCTTAAACCAAAGTTCTTATATGGGAAGCATCTTCCCAGACTTCTCTTAAAAAGCATTTCTCATAAAATAACCCACACCAGAGAGGCAGACCTAATCTAAATACAAGTCATAAATGCCTCCCCTAGGCCCTGTACAACTTGGAAAAATTAATGAAAACAAAGCACTCTAGAAATGGAAAAGTGACACCTAGTGGCCACTTGGCCGTTTTCCTTGATGGCTTCTGATCATTTTAGATCTTTTCCCTGCTCTTCTCATAACTGCGCTTGGCAAATCTGAATTTCCAATTTCAGAGCCAAACAATGACTTACCTGAGTGGTAGAGGCTTCTTTAGAGCAGGATCTGAAATGACACTACTAAACGTGGTCCAATAACTAGGTAGTGGTTATTTCATTTACTCTGCCCAGATGCTATAGAAATTCCTCAAAGAATAGGACTAATAAATATAGCATTTTCCCGCTATGACACTGTAATGAAATATTTTAATCCCATTTATTTACCAAAAGCCTCCATTCTCTATTTTCCTGTCTATTTCTCAATGGATTTCCAGGTTTAGTGACTGCAATAGGGTGTCACCATATACCCCAAGTTTTATTTGATTTCAGGTTATCATCATGTAATGAAATGTACTGATAACATTTTCAGGTTTACTAGTTTCAAAAAAGTTTTAAATTTTGACACATGGATAGAGGTTCACAGTTATTTGATTATACTAAATCAAGGATCAATAAATAATTGTTCCTGAAACCATAGCATTTAGAGGTAAATATCATAGTTATGGTATAACCTTTGGTCTACTTCAGTAATATCCACTTAATAAAATGTTTTAGAGCAGCACTGTCCAATAGAAATATAATATATGCCACATGGGTAATTTAAAATTTTCTTGTAGCCACATTAAAAAAGTAAAAAGTAAAATGTTAATGTTTTATATAATTCAGTATATCCAAAATACTTGAGTATATGATCAATATAAAACTGTTTTTAAAAGATAGTTTTTATATTTATTTTTAAATTTTTATTTATTTTTGAGTAAGTTCTATGCCCAACATGGGGCTGGAATTCACGACCCTGAGATCGAGTCGCATGCTCCACTGACTGAGCCAGCCGGGTGCCCCATTATAAAACTGCTAATGTGATATCTTATGTTCCCTTTTTATACTAAATGTATGAAATCTGGTATGCATTTTACATTTACAGTCTATCTCAATTTGCATGAGCTACATTTCAAGTGCTCAATAACCACACGTGGCCTGTGGCTATCATACGAGACCACACAGTTCTAGAGTCTGACCCTAAAGCTCAGGTCCCGTGGATCAGAATCACAGAATCAGAACTGGAAGTAAACTGAGAGATCAAGTTCTCTTGTGACAGATGAGGAAACTGAGGCACATACAAAGTGTTTAAATGGCTTCCTTAAGGTCACACAGCTAAATTTAGGCCGAGCGGGCTCTTTCTGATTCTAGGTTCTTCCCTACTCCACTATGTTATTGTAAGTAGTTCTTAGACTTAGGGAAAAAAAAAAAAAAAGAACTAGAATATTTTTATGATTTCATTCAATGTGTAGATGCTTTTCATCAAAATGCAGGAAATTAATGGGTAGGAGAAAAAGTAATATAGGGTAAGCCATAAAAATATCTGTCACTCCTAACAGCAATTCAGCATAAATGCAACACACTTTGGAGAAAACACTAAACATGGGACAGCTACAGTTATCCTACATTGCATGGATTGGATTCTGGGTCCAGACAAGATCTACAGAAAAATACTCGAGTGGGTTATTCAAGGATCAAAGCCTTCAATTGGCTATCTGCCCACCGGCCTATGGACTGACTAACCCTTCCTCTTGCAAAGAGAAAAAACTGCTTCTGTGCGTGGCATCGATGGCCTCTAGAAACTCTGCCTCCCAGATCCTTGGATCAGGAGGGTTTACCCCTCTGCTTTCAAGGCCATCCATCCACAGTGACTCATCTTGCCACCCCTGGCTTAGGTCAACTCTGGAGGCCAAGCCCAACCCACAATGGTTTAGACACTAAACTGTTACATTGGTACGCCTTGGACTTACAGAACAGATATGATCGTTCCTGCTTCTTCAAACTTAAAAGTATCATGCTTAGCCTGCTGCAAACCAATCTCCCCCATCTTGTAGGGTTTCTCTGGCTTATTGTAAACCTGCATGTACCTCAGTCCCAGAACTGGGAGTGGTGCTGACCCTCCAATATCGCGGGAACCCTGTATCAGCTGGAGGACAACGTGCCAATACATCCTTCCCCATGTAGCTACTGCAGGAGTCCCACCTGAACGGAATGTGTGCTTTTGGACTATTGCCTGTGGGTATGTTTGCCATTAACCTGTTTGACAAAAGTTCTAACCTATTACGTACAGCCTACAGAAATATGCAAGGTCAAAATAATGCTTTGTTTTGGGGCAAGGCTTGGAAAGATATCTGCTGGAGTGTAGCACCACATAGAGGAAGAGAACTGCATTGGATCCTCCACAGCTGAGCCTCCGGCTTCCCCATTAGCTTCCTAGCCTATTGTACTTTCATTTGTGGGGCACAAAAGAAAACAGATGAAAACACACTTGGTAAACTAGAAAGAACTATGAAAACATACGGTATTATGAAAGTCTGACCTTCAACAAGGTCGACATACGTATACGATTTTAAATATTCTTCTTGTGCTCAGTATAATCCACCTCTCAATTATTAGTTAAAAAACTGATCTCCAAATTTGTAATCATAGCTAGAAAATTGGTTTTTAAATTCTTTCTTATTGCCTCAGTTTCAAAACTATACTTAGCGTTTGTATAATTACCTTTGGTTACAGGCAACAGTAACTGTAATTGCCTATTCTAAAAGGCCACAACTAGTTCCTGGGTCAGTTAACTAATCATTTAACCAGTGAGACCATTGCTTTCCCAAATGTGTATAAGGAAACGGATTTATACACATTAAACATTTTAAAAATATGAATTTAACTGTGACTTACACAAGACGTTTAACCTGCCTGCGCTTGTTTTTTCCTCCAGGGCTAATCTTTCACTAAGCACATTTTCTGTACCAACAACTGGTTGTATATGTAATGAAAATCTTGATTGGCTATATTAGCAAGAATTCTTACATGCAAAGGATAATTACCAAGATCTAGGGCCCAAGATCTTTCCTTTTCTGTAAAGCCAAGTCGAAAGTCCCTTAAAAAAATTTTTTTTCCTGAGTTTTAAATAAATCCTCTCACTTAAAGCCCATCTCAAGTGCTTGACCAAACTAACTATCCTGGCTTTACGCTTGCCCAAGTTTACAATGACTGAATACAGGATTCACTGCAATTATGACTACCAACTGTACCATCTCTTTAAATGTTCAAGTGCTCAGAGTTTTCTTAAAGTGTGTAAGCCCTATCCTCAATTGAGGAAATGTACAAGAAACAGAGATCCTCCAACTTCTACAAATCCACTATTATAAATCCATTATAAATGAATCTTAGACACAGGAAAATGTCAACATATTAAATTCCCCACACTCAAGAACTGCATCAGAAAATAAAACCAAAACAAGATATATGTGATATCCTTGGTGAGAAATATTTTAACAAAAAGATAGCAACTGGTGGGTTTTATGCCATGTCACTGAGAAAAGGGGTCTGTAGGAAACTCTGAGCCATTCTTTGTGAAGGGAAACATCACATCTCCCCCTACTGCTGTGGAAGTAAGGTGCACATCTATAACAACTGGTAGACTATTAATAGGAATAAAAGACAAAACAGCATCAATACAGTACAGAAGACCATAGTTGGTTTTTTTTTTTTGTCAATGAAATACTTTAACACGTTCCTAACTTGTAAGAATTAAAAATCAAATGCTAGAGTGTCCAGTGTATGTCACTGAGGTCCCCAGGGTCTCCCAGGCCCCCCTCTGCTTCAAAGTAATTCATGAAGGCAGCCATGGCTGTGTCTTCATCGTACAGGGCATCAAAATCCAGCTGGGCATCTTCGCCTACCAAATTAAAATACAGATCCGTGTAAGTATGTTCGAAGGTTAAAAGATAAATATCCCTACCAAATTAAAATACAGATCCGTGTAAGTATGTTCGAAGGTTAAAAGATAAATATCATTAAAAATGGCAAAGCAAGCAAAAAAAAGGGAGAAGTCAAGCAACAGAGTCTTAATTACAGAGAACTGATGGTTACCAGAGGGGAGGGGGGCAGGCGGATGGGAGAGATAGGTGATGGGGACGAAGGAGTGCACTTGCGATGAGCACCTGGTGTTGTACGTAACTGATGAGTCACTATATTGTACACCTGAAAGTAATATTACACTGAATGTTAACTAACTGGAATTAAAATAAAAACTTAAAAAAACTAAAAAGCGCAAGGCTAGAATACTATACAATGTAATTTTGAAGGCAAAGCATAGGTCTTAAATTGCAGAAGGCTGATATATTTTTAAATGGGTCACCTATTTTTATAACCATGTGCTGTCAGAGAAATTGCATAGAATTCATTTGATGCACATAATGAGGTGATCTATGAGTTTTTGAAAAGAAAATAACAGCACTAAAAGGTACTGACTCCCAGACAGCTGGAAGCTAGGGGCCAGCATTTATGCATGTGTCTATAGAGAGTCTGGAAGGATAAACTTAACTTTAATCTGCCTTGTGAAAATCCTGTACTACTTTAATCTGAAAGAGAAGACTGGCACATAAGCATCCTCTTCCAAAAATCTGAAAAATCTTATTAAAGGGGTAATACCCAGATTTTTTATTGAAAAAAGGAAATAAGAAGAAACCACAGAAATAAGATTTAAGTTAGAGCTAAGGAAGAGGATCTAGAAATCATGGATTAACACACAGCTACAGATTAGCCAAAGTTCTCTAGAAATCTTCCAAAGTACAATAGAATTTGAGATGATTAATATGTGGCTCTCTGTGAAGCCGAAGTCCAGTTTCTTTCAAGTTCTTTGATTCTCTTTAACATATATTTCCAGTAGATCAATGTTTGTTATGGATGGTGTAAAACTGTGTCACTTCAGTTTTCTTGGTTTGAGTCTACATAAACATAGTTAAAGTGAATAATTACATCTTAAACACTTTATGATTAGTACATTTAAAAGTTCTTATTCTTGGACATTTTTTCCCTAAATATAAGTACCTCAGTTTTATTTAAATGGTATGTATTAACAATACCCATAACTAATTCCGTTGATAACAGAATTTTTTTTTTTATTTATTTATTGAGAGAGAGATAGAGAGAGAATGATAGAGAGTGAGGACATGAGAGAGGGAGGGTCAGAGGGAGAAGCAGACTCCCCGCCGAGCAGGGAGACCGATGCGGGACTCGATCCCGGGACTCCAGGATCATGACCTGAGCCGAAGGCAGTCGCTTAACCGACTGAGCCACCCAGGCGCCCTATTTATTCATTTATTTGAGAGAGTGAGAGAGAGAGAGAGCACATGAGAGGGGGGAGGGTCAGAGGGAGAAGCAGACCCCCCGCTGAGCAGGTAGCCCGATGCGGGACTCGATCCCGGGACTCCAGGATCATGACCTGAGCCGAAGGCAGTCGCTTAGCCGACTGAGCCACCCAGGCGCCCAGATAACAGAATTTTTAATGACCGGTGCATTGAGTAGCATCCACCTTGAAGTCGAGGATGATTATTGTATTCAGGATTTTGAATGGAAAAATCTTAGTTTTAAAAATCTTTGCTTTAGAAGTCTCCTATGTCTGAAAATATCACGATTAAGAAAGTGTTTGGAAAACTAAAATGGCAGGCAGCTGCCAAAGAAATCTTACCAAGGAGTGGCTCATGACTATGGGGAGGAACAGCACTCTGGTTTTGCCTCGTAGCCTCTGGCTTGCCTAGTTCAGAAGGATTTAGTGGAATCGACTCCTTTTTTGATGCCTAAAAAGACGGAATAATAAATAGCAAGGTTCCTACTTGAATGAAATGAAGACCTCTTGGCAATGATCAGATGTAGGCCTGCTGGCAACGCCTCTGCTGCCCTCACCGTTAGGACCACTGGCATTTACCAAGGACTGTGTGCCAGTCCACAGGCTTCCCCTCATCTCACGTCTCAGAGGCTGTGAAGTCAGGAATCCGAGGGCTAAAGAGGCCAGTAGCTTGCCCAAGTGCTGGGGCCATTATTCTAACCCATCCACTGACTCCAAAGTCCACATTGTTTGTAGCCGTAACTGAATGTACATTATATAAGGAAAAGTTCTGGATTAAGGAGGAAAAGCTCTTTGTTTTTAAGAAAAATGATGGTAAAACTCTATCTCACATGAAACTACAATGGGAAATAGTACTTTGGAGTGGGAAATGGATTAAACTAGAGGCTTTTACCAAATAGTCATCATACTGTTACACAGTTACAGGCCAACAATTCAATAGTTCATGTAGCTCATCAACATACATCATTTACCAATATAATATTACTGACAGCTTATTAGCTTGGAAGTTGTCCTCTGATCACATCCCCTTTTCTCTTCTGCTAAAGTAACCACGATCTTGATTTTTATATATATGTATTTTATATTATATATATATAATTTTCTTTTTGCTTTTATAATTTTAGCATCTATATAAATACCCTTAAGCAATGTATGGTGTCTTAAACCTTATTTTGAACACTAAATAAATGCAAAAATGCTTGGTGGAAAAAAAATACATCATTTACCTATATTGTCTTATTAAGTTGATGAACTTGAGCTACAAAATGTCTACATAATGTCTACTACTTGGACATTATGTTAGAATGACTTAACTCCCTCCTTCTAGCCTATTGTCTGGCACAAAATGGGTACCTAATAAACACTGGCTAAATGTATGAGAAAAAGTTAAATACTAGACCAAAAGACTCATGACATTTGTATAAAAATGTTTTGGTTTTTTTTTCAATTTCCTTTTTGTCCCTGGTCAGATTTAACTTCTCTTTTCTCCTATTTTTTTTTTATACCACTTTGTTTATAGGCCTACTTTAGATCTTTTTGCTGCCTGGGATACATTAGAACTATATTGTATGTGACTCTTTCAGATATTTACCACTATGTTTAGTCAATTTTGTATATGCAACAATGTATTTTAAATAGTGAGTATTTGTTAAATTGAATTAAACAGTATGTAATACTTGTAGCTTATAGCATTAAAATTTTTTTTCCAGACCATAAGGAGTACATTTAATCCACTGAATTGGAACCCATTAAAATAATATCATAGCTACCATTTATTGAGCACATATTATGTACCAGGCACTGTTAAGTTTTTGTTTGTTTTTGTATCAAATCACTTAATTCACACACCACTCTGAGTTTGGTGCTATTACTGTCCCTATTTTACAGATGAGGAAATTGAGGCACAGAGTTTAAATGACAAGCCTGAGGTTACCTAGCAGTAAGTGTCTGAGTCACAACGTGGACCCAGATAGTACGTGTCCAGCAACTTTGCGGTCAACCACTATTCTACATTGCCTCTTGAAAACATGGAAAGAGTTCATTTTATAGAATAGCATCTTTTCTCAAAAGAAATAATTAAGGAGCAAATTTCACCCACTTACGTCATGAATGTTACTTATTGTACTTACTTTCCTGCAGTTGATAGCATGAGAATCTTTCATTAAATCTGTTGGACTTGAGTCATCAAGGGAGGAAGAAGACTGTAACCTTCAAAAAGTAACACATAAAAATTTTCCCTAAGGTGATTTTTCCTCTAAATACATAATCTGATAAAAATACAGTGAAAAACAGGAGACTGAATGTCATGACAGTTCTCACAATTAGACTAACTTTTTCAGTGCCATGTTTATTTTTTACTATGGACTGCTGAAAAACACCTTGTGGTAAATAGGAACAATAAAACTCTGAGGTAAGAGCTCTTAAGTAAATCATGTTGCTTGTCTTATTACAGCATGTGGTAAAGTAATGGAATAATAAATAACAGTTCAAAATAGGCATTCACATCAAGAATCCGTTCCTTATTAGTTCCTTAATAAAACAGAACTGAGTAAAGAAATCTTCCTAATATCCTGCAACCTATTTAAATGAAAAATGTCATATTTTTACTATAGTAAGTCATGCCCAGGTATATAAACAACGAAACCCAAAACAACATAAACAAAATCCTATGCTTTAATCATAAATCTCCTCAAGAGTTAATATTGACAATATTAGTCTCTTCAAGACTGACAGTATCATATAAGGACAAATACTATAGGATTCACTCATGAGCTACTTAGAGTAGTCAAATTCATAGAGACAGAAAGTAGAACGGTGATTTTCAGGGGCTAAGTGGGGAGGGAAATGGAAAGTTATTGTTTAACAGGAGTTTCAGTTTTGCAAGGTGAAAGAAGTTCTAGAGATGGATGGTGGTGGTGATTGTGCAATGATGTAAATGTATTTAATGCTACTGAACTATATACCTAAAAATGATGAAAATGCTAACTTTGTTTATATATTTTACCACAGTTAAAAAAATAAAATGTCCTTCACTGATACAATGTTTTTTATTACTTAAGTCACTTAGTTGTAAAACCTTAAATCTGGAAGGAAACCTGGATCTTATAGTGAAAGTCAGTATAGGATTAAAGACCAAGAATGTACAAACCACACACTCGAGCATTTAAAAATTCACTATATGCTACTGCCAGTTTTACATATTAAGTGTTGTAAAGAAATTTATGATCAAAGTGTATGATGGGTTAAATGCATATCCTTGTACAGATGATTTATAATACTTTCAATACTTAAAGCATATAGCATATTCCAACTATTCAGTATTGAATAAAATTGGGCAGACAGTAGTCACATGACAATGTCCCAGTGATTTTCTTCAATGTAAAGTTTTTAATATGAAAACTTGAAAAATTCAGGCTTACAAAAAGGTAGAAAATAAAAAGCAAAACTTTCTTCCCTCTTCTATATCTCCCACCCTCCAACACCTAGGTGTAAATATGAGAAGAAACTAGTCTGAACAACTTTCTATATAGATTGTGGAGTTTTAGGTTCTTTCTTTACAATTCCAAAATCCAAAATACCTTGAAAACAAAGATTTTCCATAATTGATGTGGCAGCAAAATCACTAATTGATCTGACCTCAGCAAAATCTGACCTGATGAGGCTAATGTTTTATCCTACTTTGCCCTGCTAATATTTACAAAAATTCACTCCAGAAATAGATCTTTAAACTTTTATTATGGAAAACTTCAAAAAGATATAAAAGTAGATAATAAAATGAAAGACCATATATCCACCAAACAGCTTCAATAATTCTTTTCCAAATCTCATTTAATGTATGTGCCCCAAACTCTTTGCCTCTCCTCCCATACATTTTATCATTTAACCTGTAAATACTTCTCAAAGCATAAATACTAATTTAATTGATTATGGGGTGCTGCTATGATGTAACTAATTGCTCTCTTTAAAAAATTCAAATTCCAGGGGTGCCTGGGTGGCTCAGTCGTTAAGCGTCTGCCTTCGGCTCAGGTCATGATCCCAGGGTCCTGGGATCGAGCCCCGCATCGGGCTCCCTGCTTGGTGGGAAGCCTGCTTCTCCCTCTCCGACTCCCCCTGCTTGTGTTCCCTCTCTCGCTGTGTCTCTCTCTCTGTCAAATAAATAAATAAAATCTTAAAAAAAAATAAAAATAAATAAAAAAATAAAAAATTCAAATTCCAAAACAAGATCTTTCTAAAATCCAAAGAAATTTTAGGTTCAAGGACTATCTAGTCTCAAGGGTTTTAGATGAATAATTATGGGCCTATAGATACACATACTCACATATATAAACATGTATATTTTTTTCTTACGCAGGTGAGTTATTATACCTACTATTCTTCTATTCCTGTGCTTTCTATTAACTCTATATTGTAAAGAGCTTTCCATATTAATATGAATAGAACTACCTAATTCTTAACAGTTGCACAGGACTCCATTGTAAGGGTATGCTATAACAAGTTGTGGTTGTGATAAATATTTGAATCACTACTGTAAACAGGCATGCACTGAATGGTCTTATTCATAGACCTTTGCACAGTTGTGTAAGAATATTTGCTCCTGGGATAGAGTTTCTGAGTCTAAGATGATATTCGTTTACATTTTTTATAGGTACTGTTGAATTGCCCTCCAGAGTAGTTGCATTAGTTTATTTCCTACAGTTTGAGTTACTGCTCACTCACACTTACACTCACCAGTATTGAGTATTATGAAACTTTCAAATCTTTGACAATCTTGTAAGTGAAAAAAGCATCACCTTATTGTTTACTTTTGTATATACAGTTGACCCTTGACCAACAGGTGTTTGAACTGCATGGGTCCAATTTTACATGAATTTTCTTTGATAAATACAGTACTGTAAATATATCTTATGATTTTCATCTTTTTTTTATGTCAAAGTTTAGTTGAAACACAATGTTACACTAGTCTCAGGCATACAACATAGTGATTCAACAACTCTATCCGTTATGCTGTGCTCACCAAAAATGTAGCTACCGTCTGTCACTGTACAATGTTATTACAATACCATTGACTATACTCCCTATGTTGTACCTTTTATCCTCCTGACTTATTCATTCTATAACTGGAAGCCTGTACCTCCCACTCCCCTTCACCCATTTTGCCCATCCCACCACACTTCTCCCTTCTGGCAATCATCAGTTCTCTGCATTTATGACTCTGTTTCTGCTTTTTGTTTGTTCATTTGTTTTTTAGACTCTGCATATAAATGAAATCCTGTGGTATTTTTCTCTGTCAGACTTATTTCTCTTAGTATAATACCCACTAGGTCCATGATGTTGTAAATGGCAAGACCTCATTCCTTTTTTATGGCTGAGTAATATTCCAGTGTGTGTGTGTGTGTGTGTGTGTGTGTGTGTACCACTTTTTAGCAATAATTGCACCACAGACAAACCATTGATCAGGATACTCCACTGTGTAAACACTATTATAACACTTTATCCATTCATCTATCAGTGGACACTTAGGTTGCTTCCATATCCTGGCTATTGTTGTTAATGCTGCAATAAACATAGGGGTGCACGTATCCTTCAAATTACTGTTTACATTTTCTTTGGGGATTACCCAGCAAAGGAATTAACAGGTCATATAGGTATTTCTATTTTTAACTATTTTATTTATTTGAGAGAGTGTGTGTGTGCAAGTGGGGGGAGGGACAGAGAGAGAGAATCTCAAGCAGACTCCACACTGAGCACGGTGTCCAATGGGGGCTCGATCTTATGACTCAGATCATGGCCTGAACCGAAACCAAGAGTCAGACACTTAACTGACTGAGCCACCCAGGTGCCCCGGTATTTTTATTTTTAATTTTTTGAGGAACCTCTATACTGTTTTCCACAATGGCTGCAACAATTTACATTCCCACCAACTGTGCATGTGGGTTCCTTTTTCTCCACATTCTCCCCAACACTTGCTATTTTTTGTCTTTTGATTTTAGCCATTCTGACAGGCGTGAGGTGGTATCTCATGTTTTGATTTGCATTTCCCTGATGGTGAGTGATGTTGAGCATCTTTTTTTTTTTTTTTTAAAGATTTTATTTATTTGAGAGAGAGAGAATGAGAACATGAGAGGGAGGAGGGTCAGAGGGAGAAGCAGACTCCCCGCTGAGCAGGGAGCCGATGCGGAACTCGATCCCGGGACTCCAGGATCATGACCTGAGCCGAAGGCAGTCGCTCAGCCAACTGAGCCACCCAGGCGCCCCGATGTTGAGCATCTTTACATGTGTCTGTTGGCCATCTGGATGTGTTCTTTGGAGAATGTGTATTCAGATCCTCTGCCCATTTTCAAATTGAGGTGTTTAGGGTCTTTTTGGTGTTGGGTTGTATACATTCTTTACCTTGGATATTAACCCCTTATTAGATATATCATTTGCAAATATCTTCTCCTATTCAGTAGATTGCCTTTTAGTTTCGTTGATGCTTTTCTTTGCCGTGTAAAACCTTTTATTTTGATGTAGTCCCAGTAGTGTATTTTCTAAGATTTTATTTACTTGACAGAGAGAAAGAGTACAAGTAGGCAGAGTGGCAGGCAGAGGGAGAGGGAGAAGCGGGCTCTCTGCTGAGGCTCCCTGATGCAGGGCTCAGTCCCAGGACCCCGGGATCATGACCTGAGCCGAAGGCAAATGCTTACCCGACTGAGCCACCCAGGCGCCCCCCGACCAGTAGTTTATTTTTGTTTTTGTTTCCCTTACCTCAGAATACATATCTAGAAAAATGTTGCTAAGGTCAATGTCTAAGAGATTACTGCCTATGTTTTTTTTCTAAGAATTTTATGGTTTCAGTTCTCACATTTAGGTCTCTAACCAATTTCAAGTTTATTTTTGTGTATGATATAAGAAAGTGGTCCAATCTTTTTTAAAGATTTTTTTTCTTTATTTGAAAGAGAGAGAGAGAGCACGAGTGGGGTGAGGGGCAGAGGGAGAAGCAAACTCCCCACTGAGCAGGGAGCCTGATGTCGGGCTCCATCCCTGGACTCCAGGATCATGACTTGAGCCAAAGGCAGACACTTGACCAACTGAGCCACCCAGGTGCTCTGAAAAGTCGTCCAATCTTGTTCTTTTCCATGTAGCTATCCAGTTTTCCCAGCACTGTTGATTAAAGAGACTGTTTCTCCCATTGTATGTTCTTCCCTCCTTTGTCATCGATTAATTGATCA